AACATTTTTCTTACCCAATGGTGGCATTAATTTCATTAATTTGTGTTCTTGACAAATCAGCGTTTATACACTGTTACTCTTACTAATTTTCTTCTTATATTTTTGATATAATTTTTTTATCAATTCAATAGTGTTTTTTTCCTAATATTTTCAAAAATAGGTTGTGTAATACACGTTTTCCATATAATTATCAGAAAATGTGTGTGTAGTGTTTACACTAAAATGAAAAACAAATCAAAAACAACTGAACCTCAACTGAAATGTCTACGTATTTCATATTTGTCGTTCGTTAGTTTTCCTAGGAATACAAGTTTCAAAAGATATGTTACTGGTCGTTCAGTCATGGGAAAATTTAGTATTTACAACCACTAATTTCAGAATTTTTCGAAAAATGACAAAATCAATCATGTAGAAATTTCGAGATAAAAATGTAGATGTTTCATTTATTTTTATAGTTGATTCGGTTTTCAATTGGCTACGGGGAATAAACATGCTGTATCGTAGTATTTTATATATAACAGACAATCGTATTTACTTTTCATTGAGTTATACAAATTCACAGGCGTAAAACTATGTTTTCTGAACATACACTGTTTTCAAAGTATACTTTTTTGTATAAGAATTATTAAGCAGGAATATCATATTAAATTCAAGTTTCATTATATATCTGAATTAAATTCCCATTTGATTCCTGAATTCATCCAAATTGTAGTGAACATTGTATATAACGACACCATAAAATCACTTTTTTCATAACGAACGAAAGTAAGCCTAGAAAAACATTAAACTAGGAAAAGGCAGTATGATAGAAAGAATGTTGTGAAACTTCGCCATCTATTGGGTCGCGGCCAAAGTTTTGTGAATAAATAGGTCGAGGAAAAGCTCATAGATGTCGCAAGAATCGAGGGTGCAAATATTTGGGAAGCGCCAGAAAATCTGCGATTCTCAGGAGGGGACGCCGCACTTCGAGTCTTTCAACCTTATGACCATTTTACAAAAGGATGTTATTCGTGCAATAATTTCTTACTGTTGTCACGTTCAGGAGTAGGAAAGATAGCACCGATCTCCTAAACATCCATTTAGTCTCATGTTATGAAGCCATAAAATTTTATCACTTTATAACTAACTTGTAGTAAATCTGGTGTGGCTGTTTTGATTTTATTTTTATGGCTAAATTATTTACTAGTGTTTGTAATGGATCATTAGGCATCATAAATTCGTATAATGGGTGTTTTAATAACTTTATGGCATTTTAAACGGTTTAGCGTATTACGCGTTCATTCACGTCGTTTATTAGTTGTTTCATTGATAAAAGGTGTTGATTTTAGTGGAACCAGACATGAAAACATCTTTCAGACGTCGTGGAAGACTTATTCGAGTTTTTCGTGCCAAAATGCATTTTATTCGATGTGTGCCGGTTGGCGATTGTGATTTGTTGATCAATGGGAGAAGTTGAAGGTTATTTTTCTGATATGAGTTGTAATGATATCATATAATTATATGTAACTCTTGAATTAACTAATGATGTAGTATTGAACTTATTTCGATAAAAATGTATATGATTAACGATTCTACTGTTCAAGGTTGTTTTAAAAATCAACAACATTGTCTAGTAAAATCCCAGATTCACGGATTCATATTTAAAATTATTATTCACATCTTACTCAAATATTTAAACTCGAAAATATTGAAAAATGACAATGGAAATTACAAAAAAATGTTTTTTAAAGATCTAAAACAACGATTTTTAGTGTTTATTCATTTAATCGTGAGATACTTTTATCAAACGATGTTAAAGATAAAATCAAAGATGGAAATCTGTGAACCAATCGTCAATACCTTCCGAAAGACATGAAGAATTATTAGTGAAGTAATAGCAGGGGAACCCACGATGCAAAATGGAGAGTTACTATAGCGTCATTGAGACATATTAGGTTGCAAAGCTTAGATGATAAGAAGAAAAAAATGTTAGGTATATAATATATACCTTTTCATCGGTGGGGGAAGCGGCTATAGATTTTTAAATATGTAAAAAAATACTGATGCATGGACATACTCGAGCGCGTCAGATATTGATAACATCAATGTCCTACGTATTTTTAATAATGTTGGTATGTTAATCTGATCCTTTGCATAATGTGGGTGGTTGTACGTAAGGGTTTAAAGTGAAAAGAAAAAAATTTTATCGAGCGCGTCAGATTTTCTAAGGAGGTGTTAAGCGCAACAAAAAAAGCTCTCATTCAATAATCTGACTATTTCAATCTGACGCAAACTCGCGGCCATTATTATAATGTGCAAAAAAAAATCGCCATTTTGAAATACTCAAGCGTGTCAGATTAAGATATATATGGTTCATCGTTCATGTTTTAGACGTGCTGTCTCATAATCTGACGATTATCTAGAGAAATTCGCTTAATCTGATAAAAACAATATTTTTTTAAATTTTTATTTCAATTCATTGAAGTAAATCAATTGAAAAGCTCAGGATATAGCATGCAAATGAATAAGTGTATGTTTTTCAAGTAGAATACTTGTATTTATAAAAAAATAATTTTGAAGAAATGCTCAAAAAATTACAATATATAAGTTTGAAAATGTCCTTATAGGACGAAACCGCAGTAACGTTAGTTACAAATAGAAGTGGTAAAAAACATAGAAAGTTTCATTTCTCTTTTATTCATTATGATTTCCTACCATGTAGTAACAGCTACATCCATCAATTATTTGATTAATTAATCATCATCATCATCTTCATCATGAATGAGTCTCTGTGATCAGCTGTGATGGCGTCATGGCAACAGAATTCAGAGTGGGAACGGAGTGAGAGAGTAATAGATAGAGAAAAAGTGAATGGAGAATAGAGGAATAGAATCTCGGAGAGGGAAATATAGGTATCACACAGCTGCACGCATTAAACTTCATCGATACATTTTTGTTATTTCGGCTTGCGGAAATCGTCAGATTATATATTTTTCGTTATCCTTGAATTATTTCCTTCAAAATGAAAAAAAATTAGCTATACTCGAGAATGTCGAAATGACATTATTTTTTTACAACTTTGCTGCCCTTCCCTTTCTTTACGTCACTTTCAAATTGTCAGATTAATGAAATATACACTTTTTAGCAGGTAATTAACTCACCCTACCTTAATCTAACGCGCTCGAGAATTTCTGATGATCAATTTTTTTTACTAATCTGATCTTTTATCCCTCACAGGTGGCCTTATATATGGGGCTCATATTTAGTGGAGGTACTTAACCGGGTACAAGGTATCCCCCTGTATAATAATCTGCCGCGATTCAGTAAATCCCAAAATCCCCGCTTGGGGATCTCCTATTATAAAAGTCATTGGTGTCCAAGGGATCACTAATCAAATTTTGCCAAACAGTTCAGATATGAACTGCGAAACTTATCTTTTTCGAAACCTTGGAGTATTCAACTGAAATTTTAAGAGCACATATTCATTTACACCATGGTTTTTTATTAAATGATTTACTAGCACATATGTTGGTTGTTGTTGATATCAAACTATTGTCAACAGTAGTGACAATTTCCATTGGAAAAAATGTATATACAGAACACTTAATGATGCCATATTCGAATTTTATAACTTGTTCTTTTTGATAATTCAGTTTTACAACTCACATTCAAATGAATGTTTCTGCAAACAGTTCCGAAAAGTTTCTGACAGATATGCCATACATAATCGATTTTGAAATTTTCGTGATATGATAATTGACGAAAGGTTTCTCAACATTTTCATATTGATATATTAACTATTTTAATAGTTTTTTGTTATTTCATCAAGTTAAATTCTATACCGGGCCCGAAAAATCTTAATACAAGCCGAAATTCAGTGAAGATAGAAAAAGCAAATTTTGGAATATGCTAGATATGCTAGAAAGGCACTCCTTCAGTTCATTCTTGTTCACTGTGTTCCAACATGGTTTATTCTACTGAAAAAAGAATAGAAATTGTTGCAACCTATTATTGAAATAAAGAATATGCTAAAGCTGCTGCAAGAATTTATAATGCGAATCATCCAGACTACAACGTGAGCCATCAATACGTTAATGTTAATGGATTTTTTCGGATTTTGAAAGCCTACAAATTCCGTCATTTCAAAATAAGGCTAGTTCAGGAATTAAACGAAGATGATCCTGATCGTCGACATCAGTTTTGTGTGGTGTTCTGCAAGAAATTGACCAATAACTCAAACCAATTATACAATACATGTTGTTCAGAAGAATGTTCTTTCATGTTGAATGGTGAAGTGAATAGACATAATTGTCGTTACTGGAGCAATGTGAATCCTCTTTTGGTGATAGAAACACATTCACGAACTCCACTAAAATTGTATGTGATAAAATAACATTCTAGCAGCATGGTGTACCCCCACATTTTGATGTTCGGGTGAGACAGTTTCTGGAAGAACGTTTTCCAATGCGTTGGATTGGCAGAAGGGGTCCAGTGGATAGGCCACCTAAATCACCTGATCTCACACCGATGGACTTACAATTCATCTGTTGATTTTGTTTCCACTGATATTTGTTATTGATTTCTTCATTGAAATGAACGACAGCGCATTTCCTGTTTTTTCTGAAATAAAACGTTCAACATTCAATTTCTGAATAACGAATGACTCAATTTCGAAAAAATTCACAGAATTTATAAAGGGACAAAATACCTTTCAAATGATGTATCACTCGACCCCCCATGCCTTTGAAAAAATAGGAGGGGTAGTTGCTAACCGCAGGGAGGATAAGTTTTGGGTATGATTTCCATATCAGAATTTGTCTCCCTAAAAATAAAAATGTACGTGTTCTTTGAAATTTTTGATTACACTTCCGTTTCTGACTTACATGTGGTCAAGTTTTCGGTAGAACGTCCTGTATAACAATAACAAGATATCACTCAGTTGGATGCAAATGAGCCGAAACTGTTCAAAAATAATTGACGCGAAAAATCTCCGTGCTAACACGCTTTTCCTTTTGTTGCAGGTAATAACTCTTTGGATACAACCCGAACTACCCCCTCAGCACACCGTAATTTCTGGTGAGTGTTTTTCAAGCTTGCCCGCAATATGAGAGAGCGCATGTGACGTTGATTTGGCCCCGAGGGGCGAAGCCCTACCGACCGGGGTGTAATTAATAACCCCTCGACGAGAGCCGAAACACGAAAGCTTTTGGCAATTAGGCGATCCGGCCCGTAGTTTTTGATGGAAGCATTAGGACACACATCGTACCGGTGTAAATTGAGGCGATAACTGACTGAAACAGACTACCGGTCTGGTCAATTATTTAGAAGGATCTGATAGCGAACACACCCTTCATTTATCTGACAGATGAAAGTGCGCCATGTGTCCACCTAAACGTCCGCCAGATAAAACTTTCTGAGTACAAGAACAAGTAGGTTAGGGTTGCCTACTACAATGGCGCAATAAGTTGCTTGGGAAAAAGCTTTTTGGTTTTTTCTTCTCCAGCTTTATACAAAAATATAGAACACTTTCAAAGGAAGAAAGCAAATACGTTCAAAATGAACTTTTCACAAAGACCTTTTAGGGCTGCTTTAGAAGAAACAACTACTTTCACATGAAAATTGAACAACATAAAAGAAAAAATGTTTTCGTAACAACTACTTCATAGATATATAGATTGATAATTCATTGATCTTTTAGATGTATGAAACAATACAAAAAAGATAGGTCACATATACATTATAAACCAGCCATTCATTTGTGTTGCATTGGATAAGACGGCTATTGTATACTCGTCAGTAGAGTAAACACAATTTGTCATCAACAGATGTGTCAGATACTTTTCAAAAAAATATTGATGTAACTTCCTGACATGGGGAGGTAGAATGCTGTAAAAGTTACCGTTGATAGAATTTCTACTTGAATTTTTCAGTCTGAATCTACTAACTTGCCCTCAACAAATCACATCATCTTGTCTCATGATCGTGGAAAACACAATTTCTGTTTTGTTTCAAGTTATTTTTATGAAATTCTATCAAAAGTTGATACAGATGAATAGAAGGTACCGCCATTATTAGATGAATAGAAGATACCGTCATTATTTTCAACGATAGGAAATGAGCAGTGACGGATTTACAATATTTTAAAGTAAAGACTGTACAGTTTTTGCCGCCCTTGCCTCTACAATGGGAAATGTTCCTCAATTTGGGTTATTACTGCAAATGCAAGTTTGAACAAAATAAAGTTGGGTTTAATTCATGAGTTTTTCAAAATTACTTCGAAAAGTATTCAAATTGATGTTTCAAATGTTGGGTTTCAATTTTTAAAGGGATTTGTTTCTAATTCACATATTGGCAAAAGCGCCTATATCAAGTTGAAATAATTTTTACGTACCTAGATATTTTACTTTCAAAAAGGAAAATTATCTTTATAAATCAACAATTAAGGCACACTATAAATTATAGTTCAATACCACTTCCATAAGCCACATAAACAACAGTTGTTTTGTTATTTATTTATATAGAGGAAGATAGGTTAGGTGCACAAAATGTCATATGTTACAGAATGTCTCGGAACTCGGAACATAAGTAAACAGAACAGCACGCCTCTGAAATATGTCATCTTTGTTTGTCTCATACAGGTAACAGAGATTCATTGTCCTTTATTAGCTATAACCGATGTTGCCAAAAGGTGAAATAGAAACGAATCCCTTTAAATGTTGAATGCATTATTTCATTTCTCTTTTTTTAAATAATTTTTTAAAGAAAAACGTTGAAATGATAAGTTTAAAATGCGTTGTTTTAGAGCTCTTTTATGAAAACTACTTGATTTTCGTCAGGAGGAACATTCCCCATTGTCATGTCCTACATTATTCTTGAGCTAATCAAAGCTAAATCATGTACAAACGGGGTAATGTATGCTGCTTACACAAAAATGTTCATTTGGTGAACGTGAATGAATAATCTTCATTATGCTTGCAAACAGTTGAAAATAATTAACTAAGTCAAGTTATAAAAGTTCGTTACAATACCTTTTTGCGCGATTTTTTTGGCAAAATCATCGATGATCATCGATAATCTTGTTCGTCAATTCTAACTCTATGCACAACTGAATCCTTTAATTTTTTTTGGCTCAAGGTCGATCTCAGATAAATTTTTGCCCTCTTTAGACCAAAAAAGCTTCTCTCAACCAAACAATTTGTCGCGGAATGTGAAATGACAAATTTGTTGCAGAATCTGTATGACATCAGACATCCGTCACGCCAAAATCTTTTTGATTTCTATGATGTAGCAAAAAAAATCGGTTCCCAAATTTGCCGCCCGTAAAAACTGCCGCCTAGACTCAAAGCCTACTCAGCTTGCTGGTAAATCCCAGCCCCAGATAATATCCTTCAAGTTAATTTGCGTTAGTACTACTTCCCCAGAGAATTGTTCCATATGAGATGTGAGAATGGAAAAAAGCGTTGTAAGCTGATAATAGCGCCCGTTGAGAGACTAAATTTTCCAATTTTTGAAAAAGAAATGTGTTTTGGGAAAGAAAATATTTAGCCTTCCATTTCTCCATCTTGATCCTAAAAGTGCGGGAATCTTCCAAAGAAAGGAAGGAATCAATTTCAAAAAATTGACTCTATACAAAGATGAGTATTTCGCTAATTTGTAAAATGTGCTCTAACCAGTTCAAAGTATCATCTAGATGTATGCCTAAGAGTTTAACACTGTGCACTTCAGCCCATCTTTAAGAGGAAGATCAGTTTGATCTCCCTCTTGAAGATGATCACTTGGTAATCGAAACACGTGTTGAGGTGTTGAAATAACGGTTTGGTGTTGGTATATAACTCCAGTAATATTAATTACTACACCAAACGTTCCAAACTATACATCACAAGTATCCGATTATTTCTTCAGAACCATATGTCACTATTTTTTTGATTTTGATTTAAATCGGGCAGCAAATCACCATCGATTTTTCCGCATTGTCGCAAAAGCAAAAGCAAAATAATTATGAGGTGACATCTAGGAAAAGATCTCATTCATATAGATTAAGAATGAAAGAGGGCCCAGAACCGAGCCTTGGTGAACTCCACATGTAAGGGGTTCTAGGACATAGTGGTATCTGTTTGTCAGATATGAAGAAAAAAGAGACATAGTCATCTTATTTTTTTCAGTATATTAGAATGGGAGACACAATCAAATGCTTTTGTTAGATCACATAAAGCAGCAATAGTGTATTCCCTTTTTTCCAAGCAAGATATTATATTTTCGATTACTTTCTTCGTCGTACTGATTGTGGAAGATGATTTCCTAAATCCGAATTGATTTGTGTTGAATAGCTTTTAGGTAGGTACTCATGAAAATACCCATAAAGCCTATTTTTCAGGACGATTTCGGATTGTTTGCCGGAAATTGAGACGATCGGTGGTCGGTAATTTTCAGTTGCGTCATCACTGCCTTTCTTAAAGATTGGGACAACTAGTGTCACCTTTAATACAAACATTGATTTATATGAAAATAATTTTTTTCTATTCAGTTTGTGCTCCATACATTCCATATGGAATTGAATACGATATCTTTCATTAGAAAGTTATGCAATAATAATATAGAAAGAGTTGGGATATAAAACTCTGTCATCCTCAATGGCGGACTTCGAAGATTTGGAATGAAATAGTTGTCTGAATAATTTCACAAAATGAGACACATATTCCATTCATAACTTTACGACTTTCTGTCTCAGTTGAGGCAAATCTACGTATGTCACGATGACGTAGACTTATTTGATTTAATATAATAATAATCGACTTTATTTGAATTGATAATTTCACATTTGTGTGCATAATAAATGACACTCATTGTGAGTTTCCTAATTTTTCAGTTTTTGGTTACTTAAAATCTATAATAGTATATTATGCAACGATCAGATACCTAATAACCATTACACGAGAGTTGCAAACGCTAAATAATGAAGAACTATAAATATTATATTTGTATTTCTCCAGTTCGTAAACAGTTGATATAGTTTTCCGTAAACGTTCTTAGATTTTTCTTCTTTCTCCAGTAAGTGTGGATGAGTCAATGGTAATTCTTTGATATTGCTGATATCAGACATTCTGATAATGTAATTATCGAAGTTTAGCTATATTCTATATTTAATACCTACTGATTTTGACAAATGAAACAATTAGATAGGAATCTGTGACAAACGTCAAATGCACATTACACAGCATGCTTGATTGAAAAATTGTGGGTTTCTATTGATTAAAAATCTGTATCGTTATGAAAAATCTGTATCATAACGGATTATGGGCATATAAGTGTATTATTATAGTACGAGTGTAGAAAAAATTATAATTCAATTTGAAAAGTTTGTAATTTTGAGTAGTTTTCATTAAAGAAAAATGAAGATTCAAGCTTTTGTTATTTCTTCTCGCAAAGCCATTAAACTTGAGTTTTTTGTTTACAATAAAGTATGAGTAGCTCATAAATATACCTTGCTTCACACTATTTGTTGTTTTTTGTATTCAAACACTATTCGAAAACATAGAACAGTATGACATTGTTTTCTTTCCGATCCGCATCCGAAAATTTTCCAATTTTTCAAGAAAATAAAAAATTAAAAAAATCTAACGTATTAAGCCCCCGCAAAAAAATGCAATTATTTAAGGAGCGGCAAAGCGGAAAAGATTGGGAACCTCTGCAGTATTCTATAGTTGAAAATGCTGATGATTGAAATTCTAGTAAAAATACAACTTTCTTTTCTTTTTTAAAATTTGAACTTCGTGAAGCTCTTTTGATATATATTGATTCATTGATTTATTCATTTAAGTAGGACAGTCCTAATTTACGAAAAATAAAATAGTTAACATACTTATTTTACACTAAATATAACTTATAATAAATGTAAGTATAAAGATATATAATAAATTTGAGTATAAATATACATATACACACATATATACACAGATATACACACACATATATACATATCTATAAAGTTGAATACAGTATAGAATAATGGTGGAATATTTTTTTTTCAATTATAATACAAAATCAAATTAAGTTTGCATTTTGGTATACTTCTTGAC